CTGTATTTGATTGTGTTTATCTGCAGTTAGTTACACGAATTCATTTATGGGATGAAATCGGATAGGGATGAAATTGTTTAGGGATGAACGAGTTTAAGAGTTTTAAGAGTTTAAGAGTTTTTAAGAGTTTTAGCCAAATGCTTTATAATATAGTATAGATATATGTGTGTGTGTGTGTGTGTATTTATATTTTATTTAACTTTTCGAATTATTTGAATACTATTTGTTGATGATTTTTTTAACAACTAATATATATTTATATAGACAATATCCAGATCATTAAGTAAAATACTCATGCTATCGCGCAACGGGTGGTTCCCATACTAGTAATCAATTCAATTAATTCACAAATCATGCAATAAATAATTAATAAACATCATGAATTATTGTTACATATTAAAACTCAAAAACGTTTTTTATATTTATTAAGTTGAAAATTTGAATAAAAGTAAGTGTGATGCAAACAATAACAATAAATAATTATATAATAATTTATTCTAAAATAAATATATATCAGTTGTTAATAGAATTATCAACAAATAGTATTCAAATAATTCGAAAAAGTTAAATAAAATATAATTAGTGAATGAGAGAGATTTGTTTAGGAATAAAGTTGTAAAACTAAATAAAATGAGTAATAATAACGACGAAAATATTAAGAAATTTGACACAAAAAAAGTTCAACATAAGTAAAAGTTACATAGTAAACTTGAACATTTCAAATCTTCACCTAATACATAAGAATTATAATACAAACAAAATCACAATACAAACATAAATAAAATTATAATGCAATCAAAATCATGAAACAAACATACATAACATTCTAATACACTCTAAATTACAAAACAAACTTGCATAAAATCCTTATCTTAGATCATAATCATAAATTCCCACAACCCAAACTTGAAAACTTCRAATTTTCAAGACTTAATATATAAAAGTTAAAGAACTTGAAAACCTGCACATCAAAAAAGGTTCAACATAAGTAAAAATTACATAGTAAACTTGAACACTTCAAATCTTTACCTAATACATAAGAGTTATAATACAAACAAAATCACGATACAAACATAAATAAAATTATAATGCAATCAAAATCATGAAAAAAATCAATATAAAATTATTACCTTATATTGCAACCAATAAATCAAATATTGAACTTGAAGACTTCTTCAAATTTTCATGACATAATGCATAAAAACTATAATGCAATCTAAATAACGATACAAACATTCATAAAATTATACGAGAAGTGAAAAAACAAAAAAACTATGAAGATTATCAATAGTAAAATAGAAGAAAAACCAAAGATAAAGAAAACAAATTTAGAGATGTATAAGATAGAGATATAATTTGAGAAGGTGTGAGAGATGAAGATGAACAAAAAGTTGTTGTTTTTATATATAAATAAATGATTGATTGGAAAAGATGAATAGTTTGGAGTTTATGTCATTTGAATTAATATAGAAAGAGATGAATGATTTGGAGTTGAATGCAAACATTTAAGAAAAAAACATAAATTGTCAAAAAAAAAAAAAATAGTAGTGGATATTGAAAGAATGAATGAGAAAAAAGAGAGACAAGGTTCTAGGCTCTAGGAGGTGCCAAAGTCTTTAATATATTCAACATTTAAAAAAAATAAAAAAAATTGAGAAAAAAGATAGGAGAATTCTAAGCATTAGAAAGTGTCACCTCATTATGCTTGGTTTCTTCTTTGATATATATATATATATATATATATAGTTGTTTATTATTGAAATTTTGAAAAACAAATTTCATTAAGAAATAAAAGAAAGTAAATGAAAGAGCAAATCAAGAGTTGGAGGTTATCCTGTGATTACAAAATATCAAAATTTTATTTGAATTTATATGATCCAATCGTAAACACAAGCATATCCTATGATAACAACAAATCCAACAATATTGAAAAATAAATATGTAATAACAAATCACATTTTTTATTGAATATAATTTCTACCTATCTTTTAAAATTTTTGAATTCTTCTTCAACTCTCACCTTCTTCATCTTTCACTAAAAAAAATTGTAGGATTTCATTTTGTTTATTATTGAAACTTTGAAAAACAAATTTCATTAAGAAATAAAAGAAAGTAAATGAAAGAGCAAATCAAGAGTTGGAGGTTAAACTTGGGTATACAAAATTACAAAAACCCTCAATTAATTATGAACTATACATTCTTCATAGAGGGGTAGAGAAGTCTTTAATATATTCAACATTTTAAAAAATCAAAAAATTGAGAAAAAAGATAAGAGAAGTTCTAAGCATTAGAAGGTGCCACCTCATTATGTTTGGTTTCTTCTTTAATATATATATATATATATATATATATATAGATTATCATATCATATCATTTAATTTAATAAATATATTTAATTGATTTACAAAAATGTATATTTAATTATTCCACTTTTTTTATAACAAAAATCAATCTAATATATTTTTAATTAAGAAAAATTATGCAATACAATTAGTTTATTTAGATATCATGTAACGAATGTTAATTATAGCTTATAAATATAGCAACACGTATAATAATTATGACATGGATATGCACATAAATTGATGTTGAATGTGTAGATAATTATGAACAACAGCTATAAATAATGTTAAAAAATACATTACAATATGAAATATATATAAGTGATATTACAGTAACACGACAAATACTTTAGCGGCCAAATTGTGAATAACTATTGTAAAAGGGTTCAATATGTGGAATGACGATTTAAACATGATATTAAGCTTAAATATGCATGTTATAAGGATCCTAATGTAAAAAGAACTATGAAAATAAGTTATGAAGGATGGAGAATTAATGAACTGAATCTGTCACAGTTAAACTTGTCGACTCTTAGTAAACCAAATGCGACCAAGAGCGGCTATCAATGTCTCTCTTGTTTAAATATGGTAATTTCTTGCACATTCAATTTGTGATTCCAATTTAGCCGTGTGTGGTTAATTGAATCTTTTCATTTCAACATTAGTGAACTTCAAGATTTGATGTTTTCCTATCTTGAGATTTTGTTGTAATTGTTTGGACCCGAATGGTAAGTTTATTATTATTTTTTTATAATTTTCGTTAAGTTTATACTACTTTACAAACCAGATTTATCAAAAGTCTTGAAAACAATTTTTAATGCACAAAGTACTATATATTTATGCACAAAGTCTTAAAAACAACTTATAATGCATTAAATACTATTACTTTATGCATTCAGTCTTAAAATTTCTTAATCTACAATTAAAATAACATGTATTACAAGTTACCAATGCACATTATTATCTTTTCTTTTCATGTCCCCAAGATACTTTTGACACATTTCACTCATGCCTTCACTCTCTCATACTTCTATGTCTTCTCCACATCCCCAAGGTGAGATTCAAATTGATATTCACAAGAGTTATTAAAAGTTCTTTCATTCATCTCTCATTCAATTGCTCTAAAACTCTTGGTCTCGCTCTCGATCTCTTGATTCTTTGCTCTTGGTGTAAATCGAACACATTTGTGGAGTCGTTTAAATATGTTGGATTTTTAAATATATTGGATTTTAAATTGTCATACAATTTTTTCATCGATAGACTGTAATTGGAACCATAACTCTTATTTATTCAAACTGTATTAATATGTAAAGACCAAGTGTAACTTATATCATCGATAAATCTTCTCTAAAAAAACCAGTGAAACTTCAAAATCGTTAAAATTCACGGTTCCCGCCGCATTGCGCTGGTACACAACTAGTATATTTTTATGTAAATCAAGTTACAAGAATTATTATTGTTTTTGATAATCTTTTTGGGCACAAAACAACACCGATGTATTACAAGGGATTCTATCATTTATTCTCCAATACAACCCAAAATGTGCGGTGTGGGGCAACATTGTGGGGGCTCATTCTGTGTCGAGTACAAGTTTTGAAGATATCACAAAAGGATGGGCTGGAATTCGGGTAATTAATTACCATAATAGTTACTTAATTATATGTTAAAATCATGCTCTTTATTAAGACGAATAGTATGGCTGGACCTTAGTGGAAAGCAAATGGCACAATGGCGAATTCATGAATCGGAAAAATTAAGGAGTTGTTTGTTTACCTCTTGATAGTTTCATTAAGAGTTAACATCTGAATTCTTAAGAGGTGAATCTTGTTTGACAAAAAAAAATGTCTTTTAATGGTTCTAAAACACTCTGAATGATTTTTGTATCATGAACATCCCTTAACCATTAAGCGCCATAATTTCATTGTAAAAATTTACCAAACAATTATATTTTCTTTTGCATTATATCATGAGAGTCTCTTAATCATTTTGACCACTTAATTATTCTACACTAAACATTCAGCAACTGCCAAACAACTCATAATAGTGGTTTTGCTTTTACTTTACAACAGTTCTCGCTAAATCAAAACGAATACAACCATTCTTTGCAGGGTTTGTGGATGTTGATTTAGCAAAAAAGAAACTTTCCCTCCAGAGCTTGATCGATCGCTCAGTTGTAGAAAGCTTTTGGAGAGGACGGAAAGACAGTCATGACATCGGGGGTTTATCCAACACTTGCAGTGGCTGGAGATGAACACTTATAGATCTATTCAACAACGGTACTCAAACCATTACTGTTGAGAGACTCGATGCTTGGTCCATGAACAAGCCTCGTCTCATGAACTAAAACTAAACCAAAGTTCAATCAGACGAAAACATACCTGATTCGCATTGCATTTTTATTTTATTGGCAACTTTGTTGTTGCTATTAATTTTTGTGAGCTCAATTTCAATCTATTTTTATTTTTGTTTATGAGATGTTTTTCCTTAATTAATTTTTTTTTTGTGAATCATGTTATGGTACGAGGATCCAAGATAAGTTTTTGCAGAAGGGGCATAATGGTAATTTCACAAACCCTGTGAAGTAAATACATGTCACTACCTATCCTAAATTAACCAACAAGTATCGAAAAAGAGCAAATTAAACATGAAATGCTTAATTTATGCCCAAATTGCCATCACCGACATCCCGCCGGCACCCAAAAAAACTGCAGCATATGAAATTGCTTGAAGCTTCATGTCGTCTTGAAGCTTTTTCCCCATGAAATCTGAGGCTAATAGATCTACCAACGCCATATAATTCAGTAATCCTGCGGATACGGCGTCTAATACTCCAACCACGATCAATGCCGTCGGACTATTTTCCCGGTACACGTTCGACAGCCCTATCCCCAGTGCTATCCCAAATGGAGTTGTTGCAGAGAAGAAAAACACCATTATCGCCTTCATCTTCGTCTCATACTCCGCCTATATATAATCATTGAACTGAATTAGAAACAGTATTTTCAAGAATACGAAAATGTCGGTTTTGTTTTGATTTGAAATATTGACCTGAAGAATGCAACCACCAAGACCCATTCCTTCAAAGAATTGATGGAAGCATAAAGCAGCCACAAGAGGTCTTATGGTGCATAGATTGTCTGATGCACCCATTGATAGTCCGATCACAACCGAATGTACAACTATTCCTAGCTCTAGTACCTGCATTTGATGCATGTTAATCACCTTCTCTATAGTATAAAATTAATAGACTCTGGCAACTTCTGCTAGTAACCTAAGAATAAAATTGATTAGGAACCAGACCACTCACAGTCCGACATTGAGATATTTATCAAAAATATGTTAGTGCTATGTACCTGAGCAACCACCCGGTAGCGCCTCAACTGCGATACCGGATCATCAAGCCCAGATGACCCTTCACCATGGCAATGACCTGAGATTTTTAGTACTTGTGGGTTCAGATTTTTGTTTCCCTGAACGGAAGAACCGTATTTCTTGTACCAACTCATTGCGTACGAATCAACCATTAATGTTGCTACAGCTGACAGCATTGCGATAAACGTTGTGAATGGGAACTTTCTCCATGGGTTTTCAGGTAAGCATTTGGAGGTCAAGCAATCAAACGAATCGGGTAAGACATGCATGTACCCGGTTGCAAGAATTACACCCGAAGCAAAGGCTTTAACCAACACAAAGAGCTTTTTATCGGGTTGTAAAGCGGGTACGACCCGGGAAAGTATGGGAAGGGTGACACCTGCCATACTAGTGACTAGTATTGCGGCAATGGCAATGAGTTTAAGTTTTAAAGATCTGGCTTTACTGTGGCATGGTCCGCCGCTGGAGTTTTGGCATTCTTCCGGGAGGGTGTTGGGTGGTTTTCCGGTGGGTTCAGCTCCATGAGACGGTGGTACGACGGTGGATAGTAGGAGGAGGGAAAGAATGAGAAGGTGCAGACTGGCCATGGTTGAAATATGGTCGATATGGGAGGCGAAGGAGGATGAAAGTTATCATTAGTTATAGGGATTTGGAGATGGTAAGCGGGATTCAGGGATCCCTAGGGTTGTGGGAAATGACGGAATTGTCCTTCGTGAGGGAGGTCTGTTGAGTTGTTGTGTGATGTAGTTATTAGGGGTTGGGAAGGGTAGAGAGGGAAAAAGATGGAGGAAATGGTAAATAATTGCATGGCGTGTGCATGGCTTTGGTAGGAGTCGTCTCGGCTGCAGACGTATGACATGCTTTCAGTGACATGGCACATGATAGTGATATTGATGTGGAAAAAGAAATCTGTTTGTTGTAAAATAATACCATATTATATAATACGAAGGTTTGGAAGAGAATGGGGAGTTATGAGAATTATAAAAAGGAATTTGGATTCTTAGATTATTTTAATCTTATTTTCATCTTATGAATTATAGTTTTTAACCCTATCTTATTAGTACTGATATTTAATTATGAATTATAGTTTTTAACCCTATCTTATTAGTACTGATATTTAATTATGATTGATTTAAGAATGAAGATTTCTTCTTATCATTTTCACCCTAAGACCATCTAATTCTTATATATATCTATATAGAGGCGGAATGAAATGAAAACCATTTAATTCTTAGAAACCGTGTAAACTAATTTCGACTAATAGAAAAATTCTTTTTTTTTTCTTAATTAAATTTAATCATTAAGAGTAGAATTGTCATTTACATTGTTTTTGATTAAATAAAAAGTTAGTAAGAAATCTTAATTAAGATAACATAATAAAGGAAATTTTAGAAAGGGTAATATTTAAATGTTTTTTTTTAATTAGAATTCTAAAAATTAAATATTGTTATTTGGTTTCTCGGTTTATTAGTGGTAATAATATGAAAATCGAAATTTATTATATTCATTGATCAACGAAATCAGTAATAGATCCAAACTAAGATTCATGAACCGATAAAAATATAATCAGTTGTGAAACAGATTCATATTACATTTGTTCATGAAAACGTTCATTGAAGAGTTTGTTTTATGAAACATATGCAAATTGGTTATATTTGAAGGTATACACTAATTCTATGAAACGTGTTCACTTAATGGTTAACAAAGCATGTAATGGTAAATACCTTGACTCTATAAAATGTGTTCGTATTGGAATAAATTGGCTGATGAAATGTGTGCATAACGAAACTGAAACCATTTCATAATTGTTAAGAAAATGATGTGTAATTAGCGAACAGTGAAACAATTTCATTATTACAATGAAACGGATCCATCTACCAATAACATGAAAATAACAAATGTCTCATCAGGCATTACGTTGATTAGTGTATTGATGAAACTGTAAAACCATTTCGATAATTGTTTAAGAACATGTTGTTTAATTAGCAAACAGTGAAACCATTTCATAATTAGATTGAAATAGATCCATCTACCGAAAACTTGAAAATGACAAATGTCTCATCTAACATTACGTTGATTTGTGTATTGATGAAACTGTGAAACCATTTCGTTCATGAAATGTAGTAGTAATTTTTTTTTTATTCAAAAGGTTTCATTATGTTAATTGATTATAATGTGTTTTATTTTATTGTTAATCTATTTTAATGATATATGTTATTTTTTTAATAATATTTGAATATAAAATTAATATATTATTTTACAAATGATTTTGTTTCATTAATATTACGATATACATGATATGGTTGCTATTAATATTACCACTACCAAAGTTACCATTTTGCCCTTTTCGAGATTATAAAATAATTTTTTAATTTTTTTTAATTTCCTAATATAACCTAAACTAATCTTGACCATTGATCAAGAAAATGGATTGATGAGATTGGTTTACACGGTTTACACAAATGAGTGCGGTTTTCATTTAATCGCTCCTATATATATATATATAGATTTGGGATCATTTGAGACCCGTATGGCCAATTCTCATCCCTTGGATCAAATCTACAATCTGAACATTTATAATCACAAAATTGCCACGAGATTTCTCAATAATCACAAAATTGTCACCATGCAACTTTAGACCATTAGATCATTAGCTTATAAAGTTGATCAATGAACATAAATAAGTCTTACGGGTCTCACGAAAAACCTTTGATCTCACGTGAACCCAACCCTATATATATATATGGGGGTTGGTTCAAATGCTAACCAAGATTATCGTGTTAACTTTGTTAACCGATCTTGACCGTTAATTTGAATAATAAACAGTGTGATTTAATGATATTTAAAAATTAATTATTAAATTAATATTTTCAATTAACATATGTGAACAAAATATCAAAGAGTATTTAGGTAAAAAGTAATCTATCTTTGATACACGAGTTGTCAGACATATGAACTTGTGTATATCTTCAAACCACATTAAACAAAAAAGATTAGACATATGAACAACATGTGAACCGTATGAACATCTTCTGTATATTCAGGAGTCAACTCTGCTGTATGTACATGAACACCTATGAACAAGACATCTAGGGCTGTGTGTTTTCATATGTGTTCATATGTTTTCACATGTTCTGTATGTGTGTGTGTGTGTATTCATATGAACATCTAGTGACTTGAATATACATGAACACTTATGAATCACGACATCTAAGGCTGTGTGATTTCTGATGTGTTCATATGTCAAATGTGAGAACTGTCGATTAAAATAAATGTGAATTATAGAACATGAACACGTGTGAAACCCCAATGTCAATATTGCATCATGATCAATTGTGATATTTTCAGATTTGTAACTCCCAATTAATTATTTGGGAGTTACATAAAATGACAAATTACTTAAATACCCTTGTATTTAATATATGAGTTACATTTGAACCAAAGAAAAAGATGGAATATGATTGGTTGAGCTTAACATAATTAACACAAAAAAATTGGTTAGTATTTGAACCAAACTATATATATATATATATATATATATATATATATATATATATACAACACACACGAAGACGACTTGTTCCAACAGAAACTTCAATAAAAACTTCCATGGTGATTTCGTGAATGCTGTAATAAAATAGATGGATTCAAGCCAAGTTTTTCTATAACAAAAAATAATGAGAACGGCGGCCCAAATTAGTGAAATAATAAAACAAACAGAGGCCCAGATGTAAAATACATTATTAATCAATATAATTTTTTGAAAACAATAATTCGTAAAATACATAATTAATCATTGAATTTTTTTTTGAAAACAATAGTGCGTAAAATACATAATTAATCAATATATTTTTTGAAAAAATATATTTATTAAACATATATGTAAAATATTATTGGTTATGAAATTTGAACTTTTAAAGGAAAAGGTGAACGACACTCTGAAATAAATACTATTTTATAATAAAAAATTATTTGATCAAAAAATTCCCATCGAATGAATATGAACTAAGATTATTTATTACTCTTTTTTTATTAATGTGAACTAATCATACAAAACACTGGATTGTGATGCAGCTCAAGTACACGTTACGAAGGAAAATTGACAATTTCTAAAAGAGATGAAGATCTGTCAAAAAACGTTTAAATTATATCTTTTTTCTTTCGATATTTGTTGGTTACATTCACTCCACTTATAAATCCAATGTAGCAAATGTAGCTAATTTCCAAACCGGTCATTATTGAATTGTGTACCCTATTTTGCTTTATAAAAGAAAAAAAAAATCTCATAAAGAAAATGAAAAAAAAAATTAAACCAAAGTTTATAAATATTAATAGGATGAGTTCAAAAAATAACATTAATAAGATAGAAGATTAAATCCCTAATAAAATAAAAATGCCACATCAATCATTCTTTTCTCTACTAAATAATTAACCTCTGTTCCTAATTCATGAACTGAGGCTTGTTCATAGACCATGCATTGAGTTTCTCAACAATGATGGTCTGGGTACCGTTGTTAAATAGATACAAATGTGCGTCTCCACCAACCGCAAGTGTCGGATAAACCCTCGATGTTATCACAGTCTTCCCGCCCTCTCCAAAGCTTTCTACAACTGAATGATCAATCAAACTTCTAAGAGAAAGCTTCTTTTCTGCTAAATCAACATCCACAAACCCTGCAAAAGATGGCTTGTACTCGTTTTGGTTCAACGACGAACTGTTGAAAAACAAAAAACACTGTTAGATCTACTTAACACACAAAGCCTCATAAAACAAAAAAGTTCAAGAACGATCTCCGTCGCATATTTTTTTGCCATTTTTGGAAAATGAACCGGAGAGATGGATTACGTACGGTTTAGCATCGGAACACATAAGAACTTTGTATTTTTTGTCAAGTGTCTTGAAAACCCTAAAGAAAACAGGAGTGTATTCTTGAAGGTTGCTCGAAGCCAATGTCAAAAGACCAAAAGGTCCCAACCCCCCTTCTTTAGTAGTGCCCTTCATCCCACATATCTCCATTGCAAGATTTTCTGAGGGTAATTCAGACCATTTCGAATCAAATGTCTCGGCTTCATCCAAATTCGAAAACTTAAACACCACCTCAACATCGGCCTATATTTTATCAAAATCGACCGTTACAAACAAATTAGTATCATATATAATCAAATAATTCTCCAAGTCACATGTACTAAAATTAATGCATAAGGTACAAACCTGGGCAGCAGTAATTCCTTTAACCTCAACAACATCACCCATGTTAAGCTTCTTACTGCTTAGGTGCACCCTGTCACATCTTAGTTTTTCCAACTCACGAATTGGCCATTGTAGCAATTGCTTTCCACTGGGGTCCAGCCACACCTTACGTGGAATCAACTGCACGAAATAATTTCCGGTTTACAACTTTTGTGACATCTTCGATTAATTAATTTCATAATACAAATATATATAATTAATTAACTGTTAGGAAAATTAATTACCTGAATTCCAGCCCATCCTTTTGTGACATCTTCAAAACTTGTGCTGGACTCATTAGCCCAACCCCAAAGAATCCTACGGTTTTGGGCCGGGTCAAAAAATGTCTTTGAAGCGTAAAAGTTTCCGTAATCGTATCGTAGCCCAGCCCAACCGTCTACCGAATTTTTGTCTGGATAGTATTTGTCCGTAATTGGGTTGTAAGTTCCAATAGTGTAATACTCGAACCGAGTCAAGTCAAGGCTAACCTTAAAAACGTGTTTAATTTTTCTCCCCAACACTGATGTTTCCAGCCCCTTTGATCCACGAGGCGATACCGGGAAAAAATCCGGACATTCCCACATACCGGTATCCGGTTTATCATGGAGTGTATGTTTGGCCTTGGTCCACTTACGGAAATCCCGGCTTCGGTACAAGTAGACAATGCCTCTCTGCTTATATTTGCTTCCGACAATCATTTTCCAATGACCGTTGTTGAACCAAGCTGTAGTGGGGTCACGGAAAGATGACACGTTCTCGGACGTCGGTTTGACAATCGGATTATCATCGGGTTTAATCCATTCCCGGAGAAGTGGATCAGAATAGTTTGCCGGTATGGCGTAGTTTTGGACCTGGTAACCTGGTGCCGGCTTGTTGTTGATTATACCGGTGTACAAAATAACCGGTTTGTTTCCTGGAAGAATTGTGGCTGAACCGGACCAACATCCGTACTTATCAAAAGGCTTCGATGGTACGATTGCTGGTTCTAATGGAATCCAATTGATCATGTCTTTTGATACAGAATGAGCCCACACAATATTGCCCCACACAGCACCTTTTGGATTGTATTGGTAGAACAAATGATAGAATCCTTTGTAGTACATTGGAGCTGTTTTATACCAATAAAAAAAATTATCAATCAAATTAATTAATAGTAATTTTATAAATTAAATTTCTTTAAAAGAATTATGAATATATATTAAATAAACTCACCATTCGGGTCTACATCGTTTAATTTGTTTCAGCCACATCGTGCAAACAACAAAAGAAAAAACTGTTAGTCTTTTGACTAAATAAAAAAAAGATAATTGTAAAGCTAATTAATTTATAATAAAAAAATAACACATAATAAATAAGAGTGAACGAATTTAACACGTTTATATTATTATTATTTTTTTAAAAATTGAAATTTATAAGGATAATTTGGTAATTTGAGGTGAGGAAACAGAAGATATAATTTTAGACATGAAAACGTGGGAAATTGGTGATCTCAAAATCTAACCCTATATATAGGGCTGTAAACGAACCGAACGTTCGGCGAAACGTTCGTGAACCGTTCGGCGGGAAGTTCGTTTATGTTCGTTTATTTAATAAATGAACGAACATGAACAATTTTTTTTGTTCGTTTAGTTAAACGAACGAACATGAACAAGAGCCTCGTTCGTTCATTTATGTTCGTGAACGTTCGTTCATTTACCGTTCGTTTACGTTCGCTTATGTTCGTTTATATTCG